GCTGGGCCTGTGCAAAACATGAAGTTCAACAAGACCACAGCAAGGTCCTGTACCTGGGGTCAGGGCAAGCCCTGGTATCAATACAGGCTGGGGAATGAATGGATTGCAAGCAGCCCTGTCAAGAAAGACCTGGGGATCCTGGTGGATGGAAAGCTGGATACGACCCAGCAATGTGCTCTTGCAGCCCAGAAAGACAACATGTCCTGGGCTGCACCAAAAGCAGTGTGGCCAGCAGGTTGACGGAGGGGATTCTGCCCCTCTACTCCACTCTGGTGAGACCCCACCTGAAGTACTGCAACATCTCTCCTACTCCGAAGAGAGGCTAGGAGAGTTGACGTTGTTCAGCCTGGAGAAGGTTCCAGAAAGACCTTAGGGCAGCCTTGCACTACCTGAATGGTATTTGCAGGCCTAAAAGAAAGCTGGAGAGGGACTACTTACATGAGCATTGTAGTGATAGGGCAAGGGGCAATGGCCTTAAGCCGAGAGAGGACAGGTTTAGATTAGATATTAGGAAGATATTTTTTACTGTGAGAGTGCAGAGACACTGGAGCAGGTTGCCCAGAGAAACTGCGGATGCCTCATCCTAGAAGGGTTCCAGGCCAGGGCTTTGAGCAACCTGATCTAGTGAAAGTATCCCTGCCTATGCCAGGGGTGCTGAAAATAGATGATCTTTAAGGTCCCTTCCAACGCAAGCCACTCTATGATTCTATGGTCTTTATAGAAAACAAAGTATTTAGTGGAAAATAAAAAAACCCAAACAACTGTCTTACCTTGGTATCTGATTGTAGCAGTGTTTCTATTCCTAGAAGCATTAGCTTGCTTTGACACTGGGTAGAAAAGAAACAAAACACAAGCAATGTTTGTTTACTCTTCCCTTTTGTAACAACAGAACACAATGCTTAGAAAGTTGAACATAACTTTTTAAATATAGGAATAAAAGAGTTGTGACTTGGATCCCACCACATCCCTTAGATCCTTACCCAGAACAGCAAATTAAGAAATATTTTGAAATCGCACCACAGTAAAGCAGAACTTAATTAACTGGAAAGCAGAAAAGTAGCAGCTAAAAAAAGATGTATCATTTGAGTAAGAAGGCAAATTATGAGGGAAAAGTTCATATTGGGAAAGGCAGTGATCATGTGAAGAACATGAGAAACTGGGAAGAGAGTCATGCACAAGGTTGAACAGGGAAGCTGCTGTTTCTGCTACTCCTCTGGCTCTCCAAAGAGATTAATCCCATTTTAATACACATTTTTAGGTTAAAGTCATTTAGGGCAGTATACTGCACCCTTCAGAAGTGGTCTGACTTTCAGAAGTGCACTACATCAGCTCCCATGATTGCAATGGGAAGTATATGCAGTCTGAAATTCAGGCCACCACAGATATCCAAGGCTTCAACAGGAGACATCTGCTGAACACTTTCTTGTTTCATAACTGTGAGCAATTCAACCTATCCCATGACAGGGCGAGATGTACTCTACTCAACAGTAAGCAGTACTTTGGAAACCTTGTTGTTAATGTCTGGAAACCAAAACACAACACAGGATTTCTCCTACAAAAACTGCTAATGATGTCACAACCATTTGAACATTACATTGTAACCATATACCCACGATCCCACTCAATCACTATTAGTTGTTTAAACTTCTGAAATATGCGCATTCAGAATGAAAAATCAAAGTAATGAAAATCCTACTAGTTTTATCAACTTCCAAAAATAATAGACATTATTACTTTCTGTATTATTTTGGGGATGATGGGAATGAGATACAAGATATCTAAGACTTTCAATTAAATTCAAAATAGTAAGCATTCTAACTTCCCTTCTAATTTGAAAATTTCAAAGAAAAGTTCAGGTCCTCCAAACACAACTTCAGAAACCCAGACAGAGAATTCCCTGCCACATTAGTATCTTTAAATCTAATTATGTAAAATTATTGCACTGTGAGTTGTCTGTACATTGTTCTACTTTAAGTTCAGAAATACCTTTACTTCCGTTTTTGAAATTTTACTGCTTTGAATCTACAACTCAGAACTCAAGCAGATAGCATTTAAAATTGAGCATAGCAATTAAGACTGAAAATACAATTTTCAGCACAGCATTCCCTCAGAACTCACAGAAGTTTATCTTTCCTGGGATTCCTTAAATAAAACTAATCTGCCCTAAAATGTTATTATTAGTATATTGTACCATATATCAGAGAGAGATAAATTTTAACCATGATGATATAACCATCAGTTTGGATAAGCATTTGCAAACATCTTTGTCCTTTTATGCCTCTCTTCTTATTCTCTCCTTTAAGCTCCAAACTACTTGTGAACAGCACTGGAATCCCACCTTGTGTGAGGCTAAAGAGAGAAGGATCTCAAGTCTCAGTGTGCTGGTACTACCATAAGTAAATAGTTTAATTTTCCCTAATTTAATACATACTCCACGCTAACTAAATCATAACATCAGCACATTGTAAACAACCTTTGAATGCAAGGCATCCCTCCCCCCGCCAGCACATCTACCTTTGGCCTTTTTATTCTTTTTGTTTTGTTGTGGTGGTTTCTTTGGAAGAGATGGGGTAAGCAGGCAGTGAATAAAACAATTCTGACAAAAGTTTACAACAAATCTAGTCTATCACTTATGGTTCCCATACCTCTTCCAATTCCTCCCAAATATTGTTACATTCCATCAAGAGTTCTTTCTTGGCATCTACGGGACAAAGTTCACTGGTGGGTTCTGCACTGATGGGTTCAGCCTAATAACAAGCAAACAGAACAGTTATCGTGTATATCTACAATAATTATTACCAGTTACAGAATCATACCTGCCACTTCAGGTCAAATATGCAACAGAATGCAAAGCTTTCAATTAATGCCCCTGCAGTTCTAGATAGTGCCCAATTATTAAGTAAAATCAGCTAACTATATGACTATAGTAAAATCAGAAGACACGAATACTTTTAAAATTGAATCACAAAATCCTAAATTTTCAAATCTGCTTTGATTACCTGCAATAGCTTTTCTTTTCAACAACTTTAATACAGAAACAATAAGAGAATCTCACATCTACAAAGCTACGCTTTTCCTCCGTATATCTGCAAAATTCTTAAGCAGTTACTTCTGCTCTGTCTTCCAATAAATGTCCTAATCTATTTCTCCTTTACTACAATTCAGAATATTTTTGATTAACAAATTAAAGCATCCTCAAAATTACTAGAAAAACAAACAAAAGAGTCTGAAAAATATACAGGCAACCAAGGAAAGAGGGCACCAAGACATCCGAGAGAAAAATCAATCCAAGTTAAAATAAAAACTTTGAGAAATGTTGGGTCAGAGAGAAACACACACAAATTCAGAAATTTACTCCCAGTTAAATCTATTAAGAGATACCCAAATGACAACAGCGGCTAAGATGGGAAACATCTTAACAAGGGCCAAAATGGCACTCAAAGGAAACTTTTCTCCCCAAGGTAAAACAACCAATAGGAACTTCCTAGATGTACTAGGTGCAGAAAGCCTTTAAAAATACTTAAGTGGATCACTAAATCCACCGAAAACACACAGATTAAAGAGATTAAAAAAAAAGATCTAATATACATCTCTTAATAATGCACAAATTCCTAACTCAACTTTTTGTTCATTTTCAGAATAAAAACACAGAATCAGAGAAGTACCCAACCTTTTGAAAGTTTGAAAAGGATCTTGGGGTGGAATAAAAAATCTATATTCCCCCTGCTGTCCCCTGCAATAATACAATTAATCACCATACAAGTATTATATGAAATAAAACTCTGAATACACAGCCAGGAAAAAAAACACTATACAAAAATGATCAAATGATTCTGTTATTCTTGGCTTTAAATTTCTAGACGTATTTCACACAATGTTTCAGAATGTACACATTGTGAGATACAAGAGGCAAGCCAAACTGACTTGTGATCCTTAATGCTGTGCTCTTAATTACCTCACATAGTGCATATACTGGAGTATCATATTCAGATGGTTTTTCCTTGTAGCTTGCAGTTTTCCCTATTTCTGTATGGTTAAATTAGGTTTCTATTTTTACACCATACCTGAAAACTGAAGGCTTTTTTGGCATGTCATGACTATTAATGCATTCCAATTTCAATACATTATTCCTTCTGACCTTGTTTTAGGACTACATAATTAGGTAAAAACTACATGCAGGGACAAAAAGTGTGCATTGTAGACTCTATGCCAGCCAAGCAAACAGGCAAGCTTTAGGAAAGCAACAGAATCACATAATCCGTCAGATTAGGAGGGACCACAGAGGGTCATCTGGTCCCAACTCCCTGTTCCAGCGGGGTCATCGTAGAACACGTTGCACAAGATTGCGTCGAGACGGTTTCTGATTATCTCCAATGAGGGAGACTCCACAGCCTCTCTGGTCAACCTGTTCCAGTGCTCGGTCACCCACAGTTGTTCCTCATATTCATTCTGGTACTCCCGAAAATAGCCCGGATCCATCCCCCTGACACCCTCTCTTCAGATACTTGTAGACACTGATGAGCTGAAATGCCTCATATGCCCAAACACAACGCGACCAACTACGGGAAGATACTCAGGGAGCAGAGAGGAAAGTAACTGCGGCCGCTGGACAAAGGCAGGAAGGCAGCAATTCCCTTTAGGAAGGAGAACATATGAAGGACAGAAGTAACACCGCAAAAGCGATGACAAAAAAAAAGCAGACGGGAGACAGGGAGCCCCCGCACCACCCGAGCGGCGGGAAGGCACAAGGTGGTCGGTCTCCCCTCACGGGCGAAGGGCGAACACCGCCCCTTCTCAGGCGGGAAAAGCCAGCGCGCCCCCTCCACGGCCGCCCCACGCCCCAGCAGCCGCGATCTCATCCCGGCCCCGCGGTGCCTGAGCGGCAGGACCCCCTCGTTATCCCGGGATCCCGCCGGGAATCCCCGCCGCCCGCTCCCAACCGTTACTACCATGGCGTCTCCGCGCGCGCCGTTCCTCAGCCACTGAGTCACTGGCGGAGCGCCCGGCGCGCGGCGTGACGTACCATGATGGCGGCCGCCGAGCCCGAGCGCAAGCGAAAGGCTCCGGAGGCAGCGGCGGGCGAGGAGCGGGGAGCCGCGGAACTGGGGGAGTACGAGGAGGAGGAGCGCTGGGTCGGGCCGCTCCCAGGGGAGGCCGCGCAGGCGAAGAAGAGGAGAGGTAACGGAGGAGCGGGACGTCCACCGGCCTGACCCTGCGTTGGGGAGCGCTGCCCCGGGCCGGGTTCGGAGCGGCGGGAGCGGCCCCGGGGGAGGGCGGCTGGGCCCGTGTGTTCTGTAGCGGTGTCTCACGTGCAAAATGGCCACGCTGTGTGGGAACCCTTCGGGTGCGGAGTAACAGCCCAGGGGCATCAGGGGCTGAGAAAATTGGGGCTGTTCAGCCTGGAGATGAGGAAGTTCCGCGGAGAACTCAGCAACCTTTCAGTGTCTGAACGGGGCTACAGGGAAAACGGAGAGGGACTCTTCATCACGAACTGTAGTGACAGGACAGGGAGTAATGGGTTCAAATTGAAAAGGGGAAAGCTTAGGTTAGATATTAGGAAGAAATTCTTCGTTGTGGGGGTAGTGAGATACTGGAACAGGTTGTCCAGGAAGGTTGTGGATGCCCCAACCCTGACAGTGTTCAAGTCCAGGTTGGAAAAGGACTTGAGCAACCTGGTCTATTGGGAGGTATCCCTGCCTATGGTGGGGGGGGTTGGGACAAGATGATCTTTAAGGTCCCTTCCAACCCCTTAACATTCTATGATTTATGATTTCTGCTTTCTGTCGTGGACACTATCAGGCTCAGAGCCCCTGCTGTGCAGACTGAAGCCTTGCTGTTTAGGGCTGTGGAGTTCGTCAGCGTCAGCGCCCTAAAATGGAGATGCCTCTAGGCTGTATTTTGAGGCATGGTATTGATGACTGCAGCAACTCTCAGCTTTCCAGGTGTCATTGTAAAGTAAATGTGCCTCTAACGATCATCAGCACATGCAGGTTCAGTAACAAATGCCATTTGCAGGTGTTAACAGGGTGTAAAAATCAAGAGACAAATGCCAAAATCAGATTATTTTGGGTGGGTCAGTTAAACGATGAAAGAGACAGGTGTCAGTACTTGGACTTTAAACTACAAGACCTGGGTGAGATCATGAATCTCTTAACCACAGGGATATATTTTGTTTTGGAATAAAATAAGGTGCAGAGAACCTTCCGTTTTCTGGAAGTAAATTGTTGATTTTTATTTTTTTCATATATGGAGACAGCTGAGGTAATAGTTGCTTTAAAAGGGAAAAGCAGTATGAGTTCAAGCAGAGTTTGAGTGGTTTTAGTCCACTAAAAATTTGAGTGCAAAGCCAGACCTAAAAGCCCTTTTATTATATTTGCACAAAATCCTAGCATATTTTAGACTGAAATATGAATAAGCAATTCAAGTAAGGGAGAACAGAAGCTGTACCTTTATGAAAAAAAAACCTTCCTGATTTTTCTTTTTATTCTGTGTAGTTCTTGAATTTGAACACGTTTACCTTGAAAATCTACCATCTGCTTCAATGTATGAACGCAGTTACATGCACAGAGATGTCATTACACACGTAGCATGTACTAAGTAAGTATCTTTTTTCCAGGCTATTTCTTTGTCAGGGGTGTATTTTTATATATGATAAGAAGTTTTCATTTTAAATGCTTAGTAATGGAAAGTTACAGTGTCCTGTAACTTTTAAAAGTTTTGGGTTTTTTTTTTTTTGAAAACAAAGTGCAAAGGAAAGGTTTACTTAGAAGGAAGATTAAAAAAATGTTTACATAAACTAAAGGAGGGTCTTAAAATCCTTATCAAAATGTGCAGGATATACAGGAATAAGATTGACTGACTGCCTCTGAAAAAGCACCATTCAGCAGACTGCAGAGATCACACACAGTCGCGCACGCACACACACGTAAATAGTAACTACTGTGAACTAAAATAGGAGTTACATTTACATATTCAGAAAGGATAGTGTTATAATTTTTCAGGGTGTTGACTTTTCATATATTAATCCAGAATGCATTAAAATACCTGTTTGCTTTTCCAGGAGTGATAGTACCCATTCAGACAGATTGTCACAGTAATTTCTTGAAAGTTCATCCTCTACAGAGTGTTAATTATGGTGCAGATTACTGACCAGTGGGAAAATGCATAATGTGTTATCTCTTTTCTTGTTTTTAATTTTCTTTTGTAATTGTAGGACAGATTTTATCATAACAGCCAGTCATGATGGACATGTAAAATTCTGGAAAAAAATAGAAGAAGGGATTGAGTTTGTTAAACACTTCCGAAGTCACCTGGGTGAGAAGTTGCTTTTTCTTCTTTAAAGGGCCTCACTTTTTCCTCCCCATTGATTTTGTTGTTTAAAGAGGGAGTGCAAATAGAGAGACAGATTCTGGGGTTCATTTAGTGCAGTCAGAAATTAATTGATATTTACCTGTCTTCCTTCATTCCTCTGTCCTGTAATGTTTTGCTCCCAGACTGCAGGAGGGATAGGGTGAGAATAAAACATGTAGGACTCTGCTTGCACAGATCCCCTACATCCCTTGCATTTCCTTGTGCCCTGCCTGTGGAGAGAATATCTGGGACATAACTTAACAAGGTACATAACAGGGTTCATAAAATCCAGAGGAGTTTAAAAATATGTTGCTTTAAATGAAGTTGTATTTTTTTGTCCCTTGTGGTAAGGAAAAAAGTGCATTGTTTTCATCTGGAGTTACTGTAACTGTAGAGTAAATTCTACATCATTGTTATGATTATTGGCTGAATTGCAATTAAGAGTAATTTTAACCCAATTTTCTAAGCTAATAAGTACACAGAGTTCTTCAACACTATGCTGAGTGTTAAATAGACTGAACAGAAAATGACACTCTCCATGGTGTTAGAAATTATCATATGCCTGAAGGAAAAAACCCCTCAGTTTGATATGCTGACAGTTACAGTAAGAAAAATATTTAAAAATAGGTAGTAAAAATAGTTTCCTTTTAGAGTTGCAAGAAATATTAAAGTAGGTTCTTGAGCTTAACTATCAGATTCTCATTATATACGGAAGCAAAATGTGAAAACAAAACCTATTAGGCAAAAATAAGCATTATGAGAAATTTATGGAAGTTTCAATTGCAGAGTAATTTTGAGTATTGTGTGGTAATAGTCTACAGAGTTCTGCTGCGTTTTCCCTATTGAGAAATACAAGCTGAAGAGCACCTGATTTTTACCACATCATAATGTTCTCAATTTTATAAAATCAACATTTTAAATTGAAGTAATTGCCATTAAAATCTTTCCCTTATGTAGGTGGTAAGTAGTTCATTGTCACATACCTAAGTCAAAACACTGATAGGATACCCAGTGGTGTTTTGGCATTTTTTTTTAATAGTAATTTACTGAATTCAGGTAGTCTTTTAAGTAAAAAAGGTAGCAAAACAGTTGGGAGGCTTAAACTTCAGTAGGTTTTTTTCCTATATAATATTGAAATGAAGGATGTCCTTTCCCGTTTCTTAATAGTGTGTTAACCTTATTAACAGGTGTTATTGAGAGTATTGCTGTTAGTTCAGAGGGAGCATTGTTCTGTTCAGTTGGAGATGACAAAGCAATGAAGGTGTTTGATGTAGTCAACTTTGACATGATCAACATGCTGAAACTTGGGTAAGTTACTTAGTTTGGAAGTGTTTGTTTGGGATTATAAATGGGGATCATTTTGCTAAGAGGTAGGTCAATAATTTGGAGTTTTTGATGTTTCTCCCCTCACCCCCTCCCTAAATCAGATGAAGCTGAGTAAATTTCTTTGTCTGAAATGAATCCAATGGCTGGAGACTGCCTGACTGAATAGAAAAATTTTGACTGGAACACTACAAGAGAGGAGTAGGAAAGGCATTTTCTCAGTCTCAAATGTTATGCACAAAGATGTGGTGTTTCTCCAAATGTTTAACAAGGCATAATTTTTTCTGTCGTTTGGCACTGAATTTAGAAATTACAGTCCACTAATGGTTCCATTAGAGAAGGGATTTGGCCTGTATGTATCGTCTTATTTGTTGTCATAGGGATACAAATTTCCTTCTGCTAGAAACTGTGTTGTTTTCCTTCCTCTTGCTTTTGTAGCATTTTTGTAATTGGATAGTTTGTAGCTAAAGGATCTGGGAGAAATAAGAATGTATGTTACTACAATTATTAACAATACCAGAGAAAAACAAGCCCTACACTGTTACAAGGGTGGGTTTGAAGGTTTGGAGGATCAGTGAGTGCTGCATCAAGAATGGTGGAAATACTGTTTTTTTTCACAAGTCTTTTGGCATTGAAAAACTTATTCCTCCTACTCTACTACTTACTGGTTAATTGTGAAACTGGATAGAAGTATAAACTCAAGGAAAAAAGCTTGTGCTATCTGCTTTGCTAGTTACAGTTTTAATATCATAATGTACTTAGCCTATAGGAATTGATTCTCTCTTGGCTGTCTGCTGTGGAAAAATTCCATTTAGCCTTTGTCTTTTGATTTTGCTGGTATTTTCTACATAGCAGCCCTGTACTGTCTCTACAAAATCAGTAGAATTTATACATAAGCAAAAAAACCCCAAAGCTGTTACAATAGAAGATGCCCTTTTTTGTTGTTGCTTGAGACTTCAGGGAAAAATGAGGTAGAATTTAAATCAGTTTTGCTACCGATAACATTTTTCTGTAGTAGATTCCCTGATTTATCTTTAAATAGATTTTTTCCAACCTTGGTAATCAAGATCCCCATGCTTTATGCTTCCATCAGTGATCTGGACAAGGCTGGCTATTTCTGCAGAGACTTCATACTTATTTATTTGATCCTGTTCTTTCTGGTGAACCTGAGACAAAGTCCTGGTTATGTTTTTCTCTACCAGACAGGCATTGAAAATCCAAATTATTATTGTCTATCATAATAGTGTCCTTTAGCGTCTGTTAATTTGATTTGTGAAAGGATACTAAATATGAGTTTCCTATGGAGACCATATCACTGCTTTGAGGTCTGCCATTTAGTTTGAGTTCTGGTTCTCAATCTTTGCTTACAGACTGTAAAACAGACGTAACTTATATTATTGAACATATTTCTGTCTTATTTTATTTGTAGAATGTGTTTTTGCAAGTAGCAAATGAGTTCCTTCTTAGATGCATTCACAACTCTTAAAGAATATAGGGGGATTATCTTAATTTTGTTTATATCACTTGGGTTTTTTGTGTGGGAGTTATTTTTTTGGCAAGATGTAGTTGACCTTTCCTGTAAGGGTATGGCAGAGGTGCAGTTGTCTTCATTTCTAATGAAGCATTAATCACTTAACAGATGGAAGAGAATATTTGATTTCAAGTGTACAGCGTAACTCAACTCTTATCTAACACCATTCCTTATTTCTTTATTTGCTTTTTTCTCCTTCCACTCTCTGTTGCAGCTACCACCCTGGCCAATGTGAATGGGTGTATTGCCCTGGAGATGCCATATCTTCTGTTGCAACATCCGAGAAGAGCACAGGAAAAATATTCATATACGATGGCCGAGGAAATAACCAGCCACTTCATGTTTTTGATAAACTCCATACATCCTCGCTTACTCAGATACGGCTGAACCCTGTCTACAAAGTAGTTGTGTCTTCTGACAAGTCTGGGATGATCGAGTACTGGACTGGTACACCTCATGAATATAAATTCCCCAAGAATGTGAACTGGGAGTATAAAACAGATACTGATCTATATGAATTTGCTAAATGCAAGGCTTACCCATCCAGTATAAGTTTTTCACCTGATGGCAAGAAAATGGCCACTCTTGGGTCTGACAGAAAAGTTAGAATTTTTCGTTTTCTGACGGGGAAGCTTATGAGAGTCTTTGACGAATCTCTGAGTGTGAGTTTTGTCTTGTTTCTCTTTCTTCAAGACATTTTCTGTACTTATTTGAATTTATTTGCCAGAACATTCACCTAAGTTATCATTTATTTCTAAAAGCCAACTTCCTTCCTATATTTTTCTTGCAGAAAAGGCCTTTCATGTTCTCTTCGTTGTCCTCTGTATTGCTTTGTCCCAAATGAATTCTTACAGATTTATGTTACTTACATAGTGAAACAGGTGTTGTTTTTCATCTGTTTTCATACTGCTAGATTACATTTTACTAGAAAGCAATTACAGAGAATTTCAAATAATATTGCACACCTTTCTTTGCTTAAGCCTAGTCCTATAACATGCCTATTGCATCATGAAAATAAAGAAAGCATTACTTGTATTTGTTTAAATTCTTCATTTGAGTGGAATAGTCTCAGTTGAATTTGGTATTTTCTAATCATGTGGATTAGTGTTTTGCTGTATAAAAAGTTTAAAGTATGTTAATATAATAGTGATGTGGAGTTTTTTTCTGTAGATGTTTACCGAACTTCAGCAGATGAGACAGCAACTACCAGACATGGAGTTTGGCCGACGAATGGCAGTCGAGCGTGAGCTGGAGAAAGTGGATGCAGTAAGATTAATTAATATAATTTTTGATGAAACTGGACACTTCGTTCTCTATGGAACAATGTTGGGCATTAAGGTCATCAATGTAGAGACTAACAGGTAAGTTCCAGTGACACACATTGAGATAACATTTCTGTTTCAAAGTCTGTATTCAGTCACATCTATAGCATATTTAAAACTTGATATGGCTGTGGAGGTCTCCAGACTTTTCGTGCTGTTATTTGGGAGCCTTACATTAGACTGTAGAGAAGATAGCCCCATGCTTTACAATGAGTTGTTGCAGATTAAAGCCTAGTAAAATAAGGACAAAACATGGCAGGCATACGTGTATTAAAAATGTGTAACCTATTAATCTCTGGCTAACTGGATGGGATAATGTAAAGTACATCTGGATCATTTAGTTGGGATTTTATTACGTATAGAGGCTGACTGGTAAATTAGGTAGCAAGTTTGAGTAGAGAAACATCTTAATTAGTAAATAATTACTTGGAGAGGATTTGGGAATTTTGCTCTGAGTCCTGCAGTCAGAAAGGAGACATTCTATGACTGTGAGCAGCTGACAGTAGTTACACCTCTTTACATCTTGTACTTCAGGTGCATTCGTATCTTGGGAAAACAAGAGAACATCAGAATGATGCAACTAGCTTTATTCCAAGGAGTGGCAAAGAAACATCGTGCTGCAATCACTATAGAGATGAAAGCATCTGAAAATCCTGTTCTCCAGAATATCCAGGCAGATCCGACAGTAGTCTGCACAGCTTTTAAAAAGAATAGGTTTTACATGGTGTGTGCAGTTTCTGTTTAAATTCTTGTATTGATGTTTTCTCTACATTATTTTTTGCTTTTCTTCTTGTCCCTTTCTAGTGCTTTTTGTCTTGAGTATTTGCTAAAAAAACTTTCCTAGAGGAGCTCCTTTATACTGCAAGTAAATTCTGGAATTTTTAGCATGAACTATTTATACATTGGCTAGAAATAGCTTTAATTTTTTTCACATTGCTCAAGCAGTTAAATAAATGGGGGTCATTTAGGCTATCCAAATTTTTATTCTCCAAGAAGATGATATCCTTTTGTTCTAGTTGAAAAATAATTAAGAACATTTAAAAAAACTAACCAGATTTTATAGAGAAACAATAATTAACTGTATATATAAAAAATGTAATAGAAAAAAATTCAGACCAGCATCAGGACTCGGTAGCAATACAGACATAGCAGGCAACCATGAAAGATAGGAGTCATTTTCCTGTTCACAATTTGATTTTTATGTGAGATGCAATTAATAAGCCAAACAGACAAGCAAGTCCAGAGAAGGTAGTAGTTGATTTGATAGGTGATAGCCATAGAGGTTAGAGATTGGTCTGTCTGTTATGACTTAGATTTGCTGGTTGTCTACAGTTTCGTGTTAATGTAGTATTGGAATAAGAGGATTTAGTTTGATTTGTTTAGTGCACCTAAAACTTTTGGCATGAAACCTGACAAATTTGTCTGAGTATAACAGAACAACCTGACATTCTCTGCTCCTTTTTAAAGAAAAAGTGCTGAACTACTGAGGAGTTCCTGTTCAAAAGGGGAGGAAGTCTAAAGATAATAGATTATAAAAAGTTACTTGGGATTTGCATGTAGTTGTACTGGAATTTGTGACTGTGGAAATGCTGGTAACGCACAGCACTGAAATGCAAGAATACACTGTCTATGAATTGTCTTCCTACATTTCAAATTGAATTGGATGTTTAGCAGGTTGAATAATGACACTGATTTCTTGGGCACAGAGCATTGTGTAAGATAAGGGGAAAAAAAGAGATAAGCAAGCAGTTAACATTCTGTTCTTTTGTTCTTCAGTTTACTAAACGTGAACCAGAAGATACAAAGAGTGCAGATTCTGATAGAGATGTATTTAATGAGAAACCTTCTAAAGAAGAGGTCATGGCAGCCACTCAGGCAGAAGGTCCCAAAAGAGTCTCAGACAGTGCCATCATCCACACAAGCATGGGAGATATTCATATCAAGCTTTTTCCTGTTGAGTATGTATTTGGTAGTTTTTCTTTTGTTATTGTTCCTTCTGTCCCTGGGGTTGCAATATCCAAGACTTATATTTCAAGTTAGGAATAGTTATTTTCTTTCCCGTTTTTGACTGTCCTTGTTTCTTGACAGTTTCTTAATACATCAAGCTAGGAATGTGACTCTCGATGAACAGAAAGTAGGGTTAAAATAGGCCTAAATAACAGTTTGGGGCACAGGAGTTTTTAAAATTCCATTTTGTTTTATTTAGTTATTGGTTCCGGGGGACTGTTCCTTTCTTAACTTTTGTTCGTTCCCCCAACTGCAGATGTGGAGAGGTAACCATGCTCTTCTGTGTAAGCTACGTATTAGTGTAAGGCAGAGCTGTTTGGTTCCATCTGGAAATAAAGTGATGTTGGCAGCAGCAGAACATTTGGCAGGAGGTCTGTGCAAGCCATAGGAATAGTAGTTGCAACTTCAAAATGTGGCCAGAGTACTACATTTTATGTTATTTCAGGTCCTTTAAGAGCAGTATAACATTTATATCAGCATATAATATTAGTGCTATGTATACGATATTACCAGAGTTGCTTATTGTTAAGTTTGTCCTTTCTTGTTTTCTAGTATTTTCTCCCAGCTGAGCTTTGAATTTAAAATCTCTTTAATGTGATTAAAACTAAAGAAGAGCATATAGGATATAGGTTTGTATGCCAGTTAAGTCTTTGGCCATTTTGTTGTGAAATGAAGTTGTGAATGACTAAGTGCTGCTCTGCAAGAACTGGGACTATAATCTTGTCTGTTTCTTTAGTTATATCACTGGTGCTGTTTTTCATAAGATAGTCTGGAGTGTCATTAAAACCCAAGATAATGTTCCTTGTCACAGCTAGAGTAACTCTACAGCTATGGACTCGGCCATTTTCTCATTATTGGGAAAATGGGTGACTGTAAACTTGTCAGTGTAAATCTACCTTGGCTACTAATGCATTTCAAAAAAATAGCAAAAGAGCTACCACAAAGAATTTTCACCCTGGTAGCATCTATCAGAAATAAAAAATCAAGTCACAGAGGTTGAAGGGGTTGTCCCTTTTTTTCCATGAACAGTAAGATTCCACCTCTTCACGAAACAATGTTAACAAGTAGTTTCAGAGAAGGAAAACTGACTGTGCTGACTGCAAGTTATATAATATTAAAACATTTTATTTTTACAGTTTTACTTGTATGCAACACTGGACATCTTGCATGTGTATCTTAAAAGAAGTGTAGAGGTAAAAGTGAACAGCTTTCTACTACAGTTTATTTACAAAATTATTAGTCTAAGTAGAAAGCTGGGGAACCTCTAATCAGTTGTTCCTTGAACTAGGCCTTGAGGAGATAATTCATTTTCTGACTGTCATTGTTTAACCCCCAGCCAGCAACTAACCCCCCCCACAACTGCTTGCTTGCATCCCTCTTGTAGGGATGGAATGGGGAGAGTAGGAATAAGAAAACTTATGGGCTCAGGTAGAGACAGTTTAGTTGGGAAAGCAAAAGCCACGCACACAAGTAAAACAAGGAATTAATTCACCACTACCCATGGACAGGTGTTCCACCATTTCCCAGAAAACAATCATATATTACTTTGGAAGGCAAAACGCCATCACTCCAAGTGTCCCCCACTTCTTCCCTCAGTTTTTATATGCTGAACATGATGCTGTATGGAATGGAGTGTCCCTATGGTCAGTTGGGGTCAGCTGTCTTAGCTCTGTCCCCTTCCAACTCCTTCTGCAGCTCCAGCCTCCTTGCTGGTGGGGTGGGGTGAGGAGCAGAAAAGGCCTCGACACTGTGCTGCTCAGCAACAGCTTAAACATCCCTGTGTTGTCAGCACTGCTGCTGCCTTCCTGTGTAATTATTCAACTTTGTACTCCTCAACTTTTTGCTTTCAGCTCTGGGTTTGAGAAGGTGGAGGATCTGTTTTTCCCTATTTGATGAAAGCCCTTTCTACACTGAGCTGAAACACTGTTCAGCACAGCAGGATCTTAGTCTCAACTGAAATCCTTATGGCCTTGTCACCAGACAAATATTTATTGTAGCCTTTGTTTTCTATTATATGATTTTAGGTGCCCCAAAACAGTGGAAAACTTCTGTGTGCACAGCAGGAATGGCTATTACAATGGACACATAATTCACCGTATCATCAAGGTAACTTGTAGCAAGTTAATTTTTTGTTGGTTTAGATAATGTACCCTAGTGGTCAGTCCTCTTTGCTAACCCTTTCATTCCTTTTTTGCAAAGAGAATTTTTGGAGTGGCTTTAGAATTCCCTATAAAGTCTGAACAACTCTGATATTCTCAACAGCTTAATCACTTACTAAAGTTGTTTAATAGTTGTACTGCAACTAAAAGGTGGCAGAAAACTGAAAGATAAGTTCAGTTATCCTGCTTGAATTAAGACTTTGTTTCATGTCAGAGGGCATTTCTTGTACAGCTTCTTATTTCTGCTGCACCAAATACAGCCAAAGTGTTTGCAGAAGGTACAGTCAGGTTTCTGTCCTTTACTAGGAGGAACAGTGAGTGAGAAAACAGAAGTTGCTTTTTCACAAGTTGACTTGATTATCACTCAAAAGAGCCTTAAATGCATTTTAACACATTTTGTTGTCAGGTTTGAAAAAACGTCACCTGGCATAAAACAGTTATTTATTCTATGCAATGATGTAATAACACAATTTCTATGCAGGGTTTCATGATTCAGACTGGTGACCCAACTGGTACAGGAATGGGAGGTGAAAGTATTTGGGGAGGAGAATTTGAAGATGAGTTTCATTCAACTTTACGACATGACAGACCATACACACTCAGCATGGCTAATGCAGGACCAAATACCAATGGATCCCAGTTCTTTATAACAGTAGTGCCAACTGTAAGTAATATTAAAAGCTGAATTTAAAGCATGAGATGCTAACTTCATAGTAAAAAATACAGTTTTTCTGATGCAAAAAGGATTGCACTAGTACTATCTAAATAATCTTTCCTTAATATTTTGCAAATAAATGCTGCACACCATGATGTATACTGTGTGGGGTTCACTGAAACCATCCCTGAAGAAATAGAAAAGTATTTCTGTGAGTTGTGAACAAGAGGCCTTTTGCCTTTAATTGGAGTAAGGGTGACAAAACATTCTTAGGCATATTCGCAATTATGTATCCCAGTAACAGTGATTTAAACTTGATGGAAATCTAGGTATTGTGTAGGTTGTTTAGGGTTTGGATATAGTGCCAGGATATCTCCTTAAGTGTAGCTAATTGTAGGTATACAAAAATGCCATTGTTCAGGTTTGAAGATTTCCTTTGATCTGCGTATAATTTCAGAGCTCAAAAGAGAAATTTTGGTATGTGAGTCTAAGAGATACAAGACAATTTCTTAAAAGGTAACATGTATTCTTAAACAGTTATTCAAAATCCAGTGTCTTTTTTTTTTTTAAAAATAGCACATATCTGCCATAGTTTTGAGGTTTGTTAAGTTCTGTCAGTGCCTATATTCAAATTGGGCATACTCTATGAAAATTACTTTGAATTTAGTAGTATTCTGGACTGGCACTTCAAATTCCTCTGTGAAAATAGAGAGACTGGAACAGCACATCTGTGAACTGAGAATACACTTTAAAATAAACTATACAATGCTACTGCACTGGTAGAATGTGACCTCTGTAGTACTTAGAGAAAACAATTGAAAAGGTAAGTTCAAATGCATATGAGTGTGTATTAACTGCACCCCAGTATTTACTTGCATGCTGGTATTTACATAGTATTAGATTCCATAGTCTAGACATACAAAATGTATCCATGTGTACTTACTCTCTTTCTGTTTTGGTACCTAACCTATGTGATGCTTTCTGTATTAACATGCTTCTTCTTTCTTCTCCTCTGCTCTCTAACAGCCATGGCTAGACAACAAGCACACTGTGTTTGGACGGGTGACTAAAGGAATGGAAGTTGTTCAGAGAATCTCAAATGTAAAAGTCAATCCAAAAACTGACAAGCCCTATGAGGATATCAGCATCATTAATATCACAGTGAAGTAAGGCAGGCATTGAAGGTTCCTGCTTAAGCAGAAAAAAATGAGTGTATGGGACCCAGAAAGGGACCTAGAAAGAACAGAAACATTTTAAATAATTTCTAGATATAGTGAGTACCAAGACAGAGCAATCACCAGTTCTACAATTTTTAATGTACCTAAAGTGCCCTAATTCTGTATTTCTGATAACTTTGTATTTTAAAGTAAAAACATAAGCATGTTTCTTATGAACTCTACTGTCTTTCTTCATCTTCCATGCAAAACTAAAGATAAAACCCCCCACTGTGTTCCATGATGGTGTTTGTAACTTTGTCAGGTTTATATGGCATCTTTTATTTTTAATTAATTCTTTTTTTAATACTTTTCACAGTATTGAAATCTTTGACAGAGGAAAAGGTCAGAAATCCTAAACTGCATAAACTCTTCAATCCTATGTCCATGTATCAAAAATTAGATTAAGTTACGATACTGTTTGCTATGACAAGCAAACAATGTAATCTACCTCTGTTCTTTAAAACTGCTTGTGTCCATGTCTTCTCTGTCCAAGAGCAATGATCAACTCTTAGAATCCCAGTGTATAAATTCCTGTGCAATTTGTTTGGTGTTGCCAATGAATTTTTTTCTTTAAGTGTTTTCTTTCTCATTATTTTAGCATAGGGAGTCTCTTACCTGGCTTCATTTTTACTGGAAGTCCTACAAACATCATTGCTTCTACTGAAATGCTTAGTTTAAAATAAATTATGTTAATAATCTCAACTAAGTTTTATGTCAGGTGATTCTGATGCAGTTAGAGAACAGAATCATAGAATCATTAAGGTTGAAAAAACCCTGTAAGATCAATAGGTCCAACTGCTAACCCAGCACCACCACCACCACCACCTTCACCATTAAACCATGTTCCAGGTGCCACAGCCATATGTTTTCTGAACACTTCTGGGGATGGTGTCTCCACCACTTCATGGGCACTCTATTCCAATGCCTGACCACATGTCAGTGAAGAAATTTTTCCCAATAGCCAATGGTATTTTGAGGCCATTTCCTCTTGTCATGTCACTTGTTAGCTGGGAGAAGACACCAACACATACCTGTCCACACATCCTTTCAGGGAAGTTTAGAGAGCAATAACATCTCCCCTGAACCTCCTTTTCTCCTCAGCCGCTCCTAGTAAGACTTGTGCTCCAGACCCTTCACCAGCTCTGTTGCTCTTCTCTGGACATGCTCCAGCACCTCAATGTCCTTCTTGTAGTAAGTGACCAAAACTGAACACAGGATTCAAGGTGTGGCCTTACCAGTGCTGCATACAAAAGGGCCAATCACTGCCCTGGTCCTGCTGGCCACACTTGCTCATCCAGGCCAGGATGTCATTGGCCTTCTTGGCCACCTGGGCACATGCTGGCTCTTGTTCAGCTGCTGTCCACCATCACCCCCACGTCCAGCCATTCTGCCCCCAGCCTTTACCTCATACCATTGACCTCAGCCCATGATCCAGCCTGTCCAGATCCCTCTGCAGAGCCTTCCTGCCCTCCAGCAGATCAAGACTCCTGCCCAACTTGGAGTAATGTGCAAACTTATTGAGGGTGCACTCTATATCAAACAGGACTGGCCCCAATGCTGAGCCCAGGGTGACCAGCTGCCAGCTGGATGTAACTCCATTCACCACTACTTTTGGAGCTTGTCCATCCATCTAGTTTTTCACCCAGTGAAGAGTGCACCTGTCCAAGCCATTAGCTGTCAGTTTCCCCACAGCTACGTGGGAGACAGTGTCAAAGGCTTTACTAAAGTCCAGGCAGACAACATCCACAGCCTTTCCCTCACCCACTAGGCGGGTCACCTGGTCAAACAGTGCCTGCATTTCATAAACCCATGCTATGCTGGCTGATCTCAATTGTCCTGCACATACCATGTGATGGACTCAGGATGAGCTGCTCCATAACCTTCACTGGCATTAAGGTTAGACAGACAGATCTGTAGTTCCCTGGACCCTTCTTCTGACCCTTGCAGATGGGAGTTAAAATTGCCAAATTTCAGTCACCTCCCCAGTTAGCCAGGACTGCTGGTAAATGATTGAAAGTGTCTTGATTAAGTCTCTTGGTGAAATGTCTTCCTCCAGTTTCATCAGTACCCTTAATGGATCTCATCCAGTCCCATAGATTTGCAGGTGTCTTAACTGATGTAGCTGGTCACTAACCATTTCTTTCTGGATTTCGGGGGCTTCATTTTGCTCCTCATCCCTGTCTTCCAGTTCAGGGGACTGGATACCCTGAGGACAACTGGTCTTACTGTTAAAAGACTGAGATAAAGAAGGCATTAAGTACCTCAGCCTTTTCCTCATCTGTCATCACTGTTTTCCCCTGCATTCAGTAAAGGATGAAGATCCTCCTTCGCCCTCCTCTTGTTGCTGATGTACTTGTAAAAACATTTTTTGTTGTCTTTTCCAGCAGTAGTCAGATTAAGTTCTAGCTGGGCTTTGGCCCTTCTGATTTTCTCCCTGCATAACCTCACACCATCCTTGGAGTCCTGGTGAGTTGCCTGCCCCTTCTTCCAGACGTCATACACTCTCTCTCCCTGAGTTCCAGCGAAAGCTTTCCATTGAGGCAGGACAGACTTCTTACCCACTGGCTCATCTTTCAGCACATGGGGACACCCTGCTCCTGCACCTTTTTAGGATTTCCTTCTTGAACAATGTTCTGCTTTCCTGGACTCCTTTGGTCTTCAAGACTGACCTCTAAAAGGACTCTCTCAACTAGTTTGCTAAACAGGCCATAGTCTGCCCTCTGAAAGCCCAAGGTGGAAGATCTGCTGCCTTCTCTCCTTCTTCAAGAAGCAAAACCTTATTTGTGATCCCTCTGCCCAAGAGAGCCTCTGACCAGCCCTCTGCTCACAAACAGCAGGTCCTCGGTGAAAACTCAGACAACTCCTCAAGCTGTTGCCAATCTGTGTCTAGATACAGTCCTGTTACTACGCTGCACAGTTAAGTCTACTCTAAAACCAGTAATATTTACCTTGGCTGTTGATGTTCACATAATACCACTGCACTCATAAAAGACTCAACAGTTTACAGTTCTGGTAACTTAATTTATGAATTGAGATATGATGCATGATAATCAAAGTCAGTCTCTCAAAAGTTGCTGCTGCCACCAGAAAGTTTACCTTTAGTGAGATAAAGGATCTTCATGGATCATTAAGAAAAATTCTACAGTAAGTTAAATGTAGCACACCTCTAATTTGAGATGACCTTAAAAAATCCAAAAAGGCAAGTTTATTAAAGGTAGCTCTCAAGGGTTTACATACTTTTATTGAAAAGAAATAATTTTCTGGGCAAGTCAAATTGCAGCAGCTCCACTAAAAAAGCCCCTTCTTCCAAGAAATTTACATAACATCCACATCTACTCCAACATTCTCAGAAGCAAACCCTCATAGTCCACAATAACTTTGAAGGTAGAATACAGAAAGATCATACCAAGTGATAAAACATTACTTTTCAGTTAGCCTAACCCTAACCATACTGTTTTCTAGATGATATACTTTAAAGAAAGCCACAACACAGTCACTGGATGTTGCATTTACTCAATTTCAGAATTAAGTCAAAATCATTTGAGAAGTCATTCAGTCTTTTCAGACAATCCTCGCAGTTAGTAATGCTTGAGTGAGTTCTAGTTGAGAAAATATTCCAATTACATATTGCATAAGTCAGTACACCAAAAAGTAAAGTTCAGTAAAATTGAGGAAACAAGCTTAAATTTATAACTGAAGCAGTATACAAATAAACCTCTTAGTGTACCTGTTTACACCAAAGAGTTCACAGATAAATGTAACACCTTCACAGTTACTTCAAGTCATCTTAAATAAATTCAGTTTAAAAACACTTACGGTAGCATTCCATATGTCACAAGCAACCACTTGTACTCAAAAATATGCATGAGTGAAAATTTTTCCTCTGCCCTCACATCAAATCCAAACTAGTCACCTTGAATATTTTGAAATAGAACTGAGCAGCATGTGTAACTGAAGCCTAAGTCAGCTAAAATAAAATTATAGAATCAGAATTTTTCTAAAGAATGCATGTCTTCCGTTAAAAATATTCCAGGAAAAGGTATCGACCATACTTAGCAGAACTTGTCTGTATTTCAAAAAGAGTTGTGAAAAGAGCTGTGAAGGGACAGTAAGCCCTAAGTAGGTAGGGGTTGCTCCACAGTACAGGCTAAGCAGATGCTCAAGTCAGAGCAGCCAACTGTATATCATTCAAGAAGTTACAGGCTGGGAAAGACAGCCTAAAGTTTGGTAGGTGCAAAAAACCCCACCTTTTACTCTGTTATAAGCTATTTCCAAATATATCAGCTTGTCTGAAGAAAGAGTAAATACCCTGTCTCAGTACCTATGTAGGCATTGAAATTCATTTCGCAAACATTATACTACTTTGAAGCTTAGTGTTCTTTCAGGTACTATTCAAGTCATTATACTTGCTGAATCTGAAGCTGCATTTAACACCATTTACCTGAAATTTAAGTAACAAGAGAAAAATACAAATAAGTGACATTATGAGGAAGTAGTTACCTCAACTAATTCCGCCTGAAGAAAAGTGCAAGTGTACTAAAACTATTTGTTCATACATTCTTGGCTTTACCTAAGGTGTGCAGTAGGAAACCAAAGTGACAATGAAAGCCATAGCCACAGATAATGGGATACACTTTCTTTGCCCCGTGAGGTTCAGAGCTCTCACAGGTAAGCACACTTTGCAGTGTGGCAAAAATATCTCCACATCTGTGGAACACTGTTCACTTCCACAGTCCGGCTCTCCTGATTCATCTCTACTCCAGTAAGAAAAGTGATGATACACAGTTTTGATCTATTGGTCATGCTCTTTGTAGCTCCTCTACTAACACGAAGGAGAACTGATGGCATGGTTTCTTCAACTGGCAGTGGCCATGCACTAAAAGAGAAGGGCAGAAGGTCCTGGTGCACATACAAGACAGATAAAACTGTTAGCAGAGTTGCATGTCCAGCAGAAAAGCAGACACCATAAGTCACTGCAACCTTCTCTAAATTTAAACAGCACTACACCCATATTTCGTGAGTTTGTGAATGCGTAATCTTCAAAAATAGAGGCAATGGTAACAATTCCATGTAGAAGATACAGAAAGAATTGAATATCTAATTATGGAAGGTTTACATCACATTTTACTATCTACTCTTCTAAATAAGAGTTATAATTAGTGTACACTGGTTTTCCA